CAAGGAATGACGATCAAAGGACATGGCTTTCTCCACATGGAAGTTATGGACATCCATTCCAGATGCAGACTACTGATAAAAATGGCTTTCACCTTCTGGAACAAACACACCTCACACATTACAAAACCCCATTTGTCCTTCTTATTTTAACTCTAAGGCTAAGAGAGATACAATGATATAATTTGCCAATTAACCTTTCTTTTTTTTTCTTTGGATACTGACAGTGGGGCCAAGAAGATGAGAAGATAAAGCCTTCTTACCTGAACTTTTGTGGAAGCTGATGCAAACCCCCCTTGGACTGGTTCCATATGCACACAGAGGGCCAACTGACAGACAATAAAACCAAAACCACTAATGTCACAGTTGTTAGCAATTTCATTTTAGTGGAGCTTGAAGTGGAATGATCTTGGAAGTGGAGCAATTCTGGCAGTGACAAAGATGAACCTGATACCAGAACATCAGCGATAAACCACCTTTGCACCATCTGTGTTAGTGGAACACAGTGTCCCACTTTCTGCTGATCTCCCCAGCCTCCTCAGCCACCACTCAGAGTTCCAGGCAGGCTGCAGCTTTAGCCTTCTGCCTTCCTCCTTTTCTCACCATCATCATGGCCAGAAGCAATGCACATTTCAGCACAGGTGCACTTGAAAAAAACCCCTCTCACCTGCTTAGTCATCTCATCCCTCTGTCTTCTAAGGATTTCTTTATTCTTTTCTGATTAAGCTGAAGGGAGTTAGAAGCTCATTGATGTGTGAATGGCCAAAACAAAGTGAAAAGAAAATGTGCAGGCAATTGCACAAAACATGGATAGGGCTGAAGGAGAGAGGCACACTCCTGGTAGGTAAAAAGGAGTTCTCAGTGACTCCCAGCCTGTAAACAAAGCCACTTTGTTTGGCTGGGGAGGAGACTGGAGCTGGACCCTTCCACCCCATCCTCACCTTTGCCACAGAAACCGCCTGGTAGGAAGAAATGTACATGGCAACAAGAGAGCTGCTGAGTGAAGCAGCCATGGGGAATGCAGCAAATACCTTGTTCCCTGTGAGATATGGCTGAGGAGGCAATTTACTTTCCACTTTCCTTTCAAGATGAAGTATGGCTCACTCTACCACTGCTTAGGCTGTACTTATTCCACAAATAAAGATTTTCTGTCTTCCATGTGGCAACTTCTGCCCTGAAGTCACTCTTTAAAATAAACCTCAGAAGCAGAGGCAATGTTCTTCTAGCAGGTGCACAGCTGAGAGCCTGGACAGCAGATACCCACCAGATGTGTACGTTCAGTCGGTGTGAGGAACACTTCCTCCTGCATTTCACCTCCTAGCAAGCGGGTGGCTGTGCTGCTGGCAGAGCTGCAGAGCTGTCCTGTCTCTCTGATTCCTCCCTTCCGTTTGGTGAAGATGCAGAGGAGGCAGACCTTGCTGCAAAGCCTTTCTGCTCCCTCTGTGCTCAGCCATAAGAGTCACAGCCTTGGGAAGCCTCTCCAGAAAGGTGGCACAAGAACACAGAGTCACCCAGCTCTTTTCTTTCTTTATTTTTTTATTGAAAGCTTCATCAAAGAAAACAGAAGTTTAAACCTAACATCCACTGATCTACAGAAAGCCCCAGGAGTGGGAAAATGGCAGCTATTTAGGACTGTGTTACAAATGGAAAACATAAAAAAAATTCATAGCAGTACAGATCTTTCAGAGACATTCTGAGACATCAGCACACAGATGCCCATATAAATAAAATTCATAATTTAATGTATCTCAGAGGTTCTGTATTCTACATTTTGGCTGCAGTGAAGTCTGTAAGGGCTGTAAAGAACCTCTGACCCATTTTTGTGATGCATGTTTTCTTGATAGGAAGTTCATCTGCTTTCAAAGCTGCTTTGATTTTTCTTACAGATAGAATCTATTAATTCTCCTTTAAAAAGGAAAACAATTAAAAATTCCTAAATGAATTCTGTACACTTCCTGGTTTTACATAAAATTGTTTTGCCTCAAAAAGATAGTAGAATTTTTTTCCACTCTGGAATACATCATATTTAATAATACTTCAATTACATAAACATCATGTTCTCTTCTTTAGGCTGTATTTTTGGGCTTTTAAAAATATAACTGACTGTAAATTTCACCAAATTCATAAAATTATTATCCAAGAGAAAGACACTTAAAGGCAGAAAATTAACATTGGGCAGATACTCTTTTAAGGACAACAGATCCAGATCTTGGAAGGTGCTTACACCTTGCAGGCTTTGGACCTACAAGGAAAAATGGATTTGTGAACCTGTCAAGGGCTGACATTTTCCACTTCATTACACATTTTTATTAGGGTGAAAGAACTCAGCTGTCACTGTTGGGGAATTAACAGTTGAACTGAACAATTTCAATAAACACAAGGATTTTTTCTTATCATGGAAACCTGAACCAGTGCTGGGATTAATTTCTTTTACTGCTTTACTCTCATAATTTTCTGTTCAATTTTAACAAAGAGCATGTTAATAAAGGGGAGAAGAAAGGGTCTCTTCTGCCTGCTTTGAGGCACAAAGGTGAATAAATCTCTGTGGTACATACAGAGCTCTAGCCTATTTGGATGACAGGAGCAAGATAGAAAAAGTTGGTGCTCTTTTTGAGAGGAAAATAACACTCCTTACTCTGCATCTTTGCTGTTTGCTGAGATTCTAGAAATCTGCTCAACTGAAGGGGAGGAGAAGTCTGCTGCTCACTCAGCCCTCCTTCTGAGAAAGTGTGCGTGCATGACTGTGTGTGTGCATATTGGAAATAAAAGGAATCCTCATTACTAGTGTCAATTGTCATTAAACTGAAAAGACTAATGCACCAAATGTCAGCAGTTTCGTTGTTTCCTGTTTTGCATTTCCATCACACCATGACTGTTTACTAGGTTCATGTGGGCTACTGAGAAAGACCAGGAAATTCCCTTACTCTAGGGCACTTGTTTTATATCCAGACCAATTTCATGTTAAATAAAGTTTTGAAAGGAAATGTTGACCACGCGTGTATCAAACATTACTATCTTCAACTACCACATTTGGTCTCATCACTAAAAATGGATTGATTCATTACTGTAAGCACATTATCACTTTTTAGCATGACTCTTGCTGTAGGTGGAGTTAAGTGAGTCTGCCTAAACCTGTTTTGCTCATGTCAACCTCAGCATTAAAATGAAGTGGCATGAGGAGCACCATCAAGCTTAAAACCATGAAGCATGGCAATTTTTTAAACACTTAGGATCAATCTCAATCTTCAGTACCATAAACAACATAATATAGATCCAAATACTATGACATATTAAAAATAAACTTTATTACAATGCAGGCTTCCTCAAATTTGCTGAGTTTTGGTACACATACATACATAAATAATACCCTTCATTTGATTTTTACTTGAGTAAAAATCCATTCGAATGCTACAGTCTGATTGCCCATTGAAAGTTTAAGCCCTCACTTCTCTAATGACCAGCCTTTATCTTCCATGTTTGGGCATGCATCCATAGCAGAAGATGATACAATGTGATGCAATTGCTCTCAGGTATGCCTCATTCTGTATTACAGTGGATTTCTTGACCAACACAACCAAGGCAGTCTCTTGGTAAACAGAACTACACAAGTAAGCACAGGCTAAGGACATTTCAAGAGTCTGTTTCACCAGAAGGCAATAAGAGGACATTCACAACTTGAGGCCTGACTGTCACAGGTGAAAAGTGCTTACAAAACCAGCAGTAGAGCCAGATAGGAAGAAGAGTCCCTCTGCAATCTCAGCAGGAACAGTGAGATTTTTTCAGTGCCCTGATCTACACTTGGGTCAGCACCTGCAAATATAATACTCTCTTCAGTTCCACTGTATTTTTTTTTCCTCAGTGTTAAGTGACAAGCCCAGGTACTCAGAATTTTCTAGCCATAATTCATAGTTTTCTGACACCCCTTTTGTATTTATCTTTTAAGATTAAAAAAAAAAAAAATTACCAAACCTGAACATCCAGATTTGATTATTTACAAGAATTCAGGTGTGATGGAAAGTCGGTACGCAGTACAGCTTATGGATTTGATATTACTTCTAGACCTCTGGGCCAGGCACCATTGCCTTAGACATCTAGAGTTGCTTCTGCAGTGTTTCAGGAACTCTCCTGATATTTAAAGCTAATTTGGCAAGACAGACAAAGATGTTGACTTTACAAATTCAGGTCTTAAAAAAAAAAAAAAAAAAAAAAAAAAAAAAAAAAAAAAAAAAAAAAAAAAAAAAAAAAAAAGAAACCAGAAACTAAACAGAGCATAACTAAAAACCCTCAAAAAAACCATATTAGCCAGAACAAACACAAAGAAAACCAGTTTAAGATTTCAGAGGCCACCAAATGACAACACCCATGCAGCAAGTGTGCTGCTATTTCACTGTTCACTACTATATAATTTTTAACTTTTAAATATGAGTTACGACTTTCAGAGCATTTTTTAAGTTCCAAATAAGCTTTTTTCTTACCTTATGATCTATGACTGTTTATAATCAAGGCTCACAGTGTTTACAATTCATAGATTTCAAGTACCAGTTCACTGTTTTTTTTGGAATCAGTAAGATGATGAATTGTATTTAAGGGGTCCATTTTCTTTCCTCTTCTTCTTCCTCTACTTCTTTGCTTTGTTTCTTTTTGTTTCATACACTATTGAACATTATAGCATGAAAAAGAAAGGGAACAATTCTAATACAGGATGCACTTGAAACACTTTAAAGTGACAGGCACTGTGATATCATGTTGCCTGCCTGGCTTAATAAAAAACACTGAGATTGTTTAACTTTGCTGAAAAAAATAAGAAAAATGTTTCTGAATGTATAAATAAAGCAGCAGAGTTCTGAATAGAAACAAGAAGGTACCTCAGCATATTCATCAGCCACATGGTAGCTACCTTGTAGCCTCATTGTTGGTAGTAAATGAGACTTTTTGTGTGTCACATTAGAACTAACACAGAAACAAATGTCTTTATTTCATATTTAACTGACTTGTGCCTGGGGTTATCTCGATTTGTACAAATAAGTCAGAGAGACACAGAAATAGAGTATGCGTAGAAAGGAAGAAAATAAGGCTAGATTGATTTTTTTCCCTCATATGCCCTCTAAAGAAAGAGGGAACCTTTATCCAAGGACAAAATTCAAGTGCCCCTCTCAAAATGCAACAAGTAATGAGACAGTACATAAAACAGAAAGAGAGGTTTGGGGTTTTCTTCTGAGTTGAAAACATGCTGTGGATGATGTTGTTCTTTAACTTTGGCATCATCTGGTTTTCAGAAGTGTTGAATACCAACAACTACTCTGGAGAAAGCAGAAGTTTTATCACTTCTGAAAATCAGGCCCTCTTCCTCTGGTGAAGAACCATGTGAACTCCCATTTCTCTCTTTTCTATGTTGCATACCTAGCAGCATTTACTTGAGAAATCCCCTCCCCCCTCCCATTATGTTAAAAAATACGATCTTGTTTTATCGATTTAAAAAAATAATTGTGTTCTTTTCCCCAAAAAAGTTAGGTTAGGGAAACACAGACCTCTTTTTAAGATGGGGCAGCTAAATCAGATTGATCCAATACATATGTTTTCATTTTCCTTATTTTTAATGGATACCCTGTCTCTAATCCACCACAGTAAATGTGATGAGCATTCCCCTCTCTTCTGGATGGAGTAAAGTTTAAAAATGTTTGGTTTAATATTTACACATAGATATGTGTGTATGTATGTATATATGGAAATGCTGCTTCACTTCTGCCTCCTTAAGGAAAAAAATCATCTTTTGACTTCCTTCTCACCTTTTTCATTTGACTGGAAGAAGTAAGGGCCATAATCAATATTTCTGTATGGAAAATCACTGTCATTCCTAAAACAGGTTTTTGTGGATTAAATTTAGTGGTTTTCTTTTTTTTTCTTTTTTTTTTTTGTCTGATCATACTAATTAGTGATTGTCAGCCAACATATTAAGACAACAGAAATCATAGCAGAGAAGAATAATTTTTAACTTCCTGCCTGCATGACAATACGACATAATTTTCAAAATTTCTGCTTGTATGGGAAAGCTAAAATGAGAACAAATATCAAGTTTGCTTTCTCTTATATCTACCTGGCAACCCAAATGCAACACAGAGAAATAAATGCACAATTAAGGTGGCTATGCATGCTGGACGATGACAAAGACTGAGGTGAAGAAATGAATTGGTATGTTAGAATTCAGAAGGAAGACTGTTGTATCAGTAGAAATACCAAAGATCAGGTAATTAAAGAGAAAAACTCCCCAAAATTAAAGCCTGCCTGGACAGATTAGTTGGTAACCCAATCCCCCTTGCTTTGGAATGTTCTCCAAAGCACATCATCAAAAACCTGGACAGCTTCTGATACCAACTATTCTGAAATTTCCACTATAAACATATGCAGTATGTAAAACACCAGTGGAAGATAGTTTAAACAAACAAGAAAGTAAGAACTGGTCCGGCCATGTAGGTCAAATAAAGATAAAAAAAAGAAAAAAAAACCCTCTATCTTCTGGACTGCGTTAGGGTGTCACTTCATCTTTGGTATAAAATAGGCCATCCATAGGCTGCATTTGTTCACAACTAGGAAAGACTACAGAAATTGTCAACAATTTCTTCTATCTATTGCTTTTTTTGCACTTTTTTTGACCATAAGCTCCTATCTACTTAAGTTTTTTTAATGCTCTTAAGCTAGGTTTTTGCAATGTGACAAGCAAAGCAGACTAAAAACTTCTTAAAGCTCATAAAAAAGACTGCAGATAAAAAGCACTAATGCTTTTGCTAGCGATCACGCTTTGTAAATAAAAAAATCTGCATTCTGCAAGAAAAAACCCCTGCATTCTCTATAATGCAGCAAGTTTTTTTCTCAATTCAATAACTTTACTGTAAAATGCTTTAGCCTTCTAGATTTTTTTTCTGTCAACACTTAAGACAAAGTTCATAAAAGTCCCAGCATTTTTCCAATCCTTTCAGTTGCCACAGTTCCTTTATCATCAGCTTTTCTTCAAAAGAAGAAAATCATTTTCTTTTAAACTGTACAGTTTATTTTTTGTTCACCCCAAAAACTCAGTCTATTAAACTTCTGCACCAGCACCGGTGTGAGCAGTTTCAATTCATTCTCGGGTTTTCTAACAAGACGTTGACAGCTTGCCTTGAGAGCCTTTGACGTCCTTAAAATTAAGGCAATTAAGATTCAAGATAAACCTTACCTAAACATTTCTTTAAAAAAAAACCAAAAAACCAAAAAAACCAAAAAATACTCTAGATTAAAACAAGAAGAAAAAGAAAATGAGAGAAAAAGAGTAGCTTAATTATTGAGGAAGACAATTGGTTTTCATCACAACTTGCTCCCTCTTGACATCATCAGTTTTTCTGTTAAAAAAAAAAAAAATCTAGCTACACCTCCAGGTAAATTCTGAATTCAAATGTTTGTCCAGATGAAACGTCAACCCAGCATTTTTCCTCTGGGTTTTTCCTTTAGTTGAAAAAAAAATTAGCAAAAATAAAATTGTCAGACTACATGACGGAACCATTTGCACAGCACATAAAAACACTGTTTTGTTTTCGTTGGGAAAGGTAGAAAAAAAAAAGCATTCATTTGACGCCTGTGCAAACTGGAAGCCAACTTCTTGTTCAGTGAAGTTTCTCCATTCAAGGCAAAGATTTCAGACCGACATTCTTCAGTCCTGTTTATTGTCTGTAAAAACAATTGAATTAAAGTGGTCATTAAGTCAAAACAACTTTGAAATAGCCTCCTCTCCTTTTTTCCACCCAATTCCCTTTAAAAGTTATCCAAGCTAAACTAACTTTGCAGCTGTTTAAATATGATACCACCACTAAGCTGAAAATAGTTAGGCAAAAATAGGGAGCTCCTACTTTGGGGACATTAACACATCCTAAGCAGATGAATTTACACTTTGAATGCTAGGCATTAATAGGCAGTCTAACTACACTGAAATGGGATGAATACATGGTTTAACACTGTGTAAATCTTTCACAGGTGATTCAATAAGAGGATGAATATTTTCATAACAATAATTGCCACTATTTATTTTGGATATTAATAAAAAAATTAAAGATAAAATTACAAAAAAAGGATACAACCAATTTGCTAGGAAGAACACATTTTCTGATGGCAAGAACAATTACACTGTGAGCAGTCTGCTTAATGAGCCAGTTAAGGCTAACTTAGCAGAAACCTTCAAAGCAATATTAATTAGAAAAATATATTTTTTTATCATATAGCATCATATCTTTCTAAATTTAGCATAGAGAATAAGGAAAATTAGCAACTTTTTTCCTACAGAAGATACCTCTCCTTTTGTGTTTTTGATGCTTCGTGTCACTTAAAGATATGTCACATCTAGCTTATGACTGTATGAGATCTTTAAGAGAGACCCAGAACCTACATAAAAATTCTATTCTGTGTCTAGGGCTATCTGTAAGGATCAGTTTTTGCTTTTCTCACAGTCTTTAAAGTTTACATGGAAAAAATCCTTTCCTGACCAAAATTCAACACATTAAAATCCAGCATCTTTTCTTTTGCAAACATTAATACATTTGCCTTGACTAGTTAAAAAAAAAAAAATTAAAATTAGGAGTTAAATTGTGAACAATGTTGATGACCTAACATTTGCCACAGAACTTTTTATCTGGGAGTGTAAACACAGAATTACAATTTTAAATATTAAGTTTGCCAAAGGGTTCTTTCATTGCATGACACCTGAAAGTTAATATTTTGGAAGTTAAGAACAGATTTATGTGGAATGCAACAATTAACTATTTTCTTCTGGTTTTCTATGCATACTTTCTGGTAGGACTACTCAAGTTGGAAGCTCACCTCCTGAGATTTTACTGCCCCTATGGGTTGAGTGGCTGCCATATGTGCAAAAGACCAATTTCACCACTGGGTCACAGCACATGCCCTCTAATCTAACCTGGCATTGAGTTTGCCTACAAAAGGCTCCAGAAAAACATAATTCTTTCCACATTTAAAATCAGAGTATGTTGTGGAGCAGAGTTTTGCTTGGAGGTAAGAGAGTACACTTTTTGGGGGCAAGGATATCCGTTGATCTCCGCCTCATAGTGTTCATGCTTTTATGTGCAAAATTAAATATTTACAAGGAAAAAGGGGAGTAGGGTCTAAAATAATTAAGGTGGTTTCCTCATAAAGTAGATTCCTGTGCTCAGAATCAAGGGCTTTTTTTATCTACACAATATGTAGCCAGGTTTTTGCCATGAAGTTACCAATTCTGAACTCTGTGGGTAGGATCCTCAAGTACAGAATTCAGCATATTAAATAAAAGAATATGTATGCTGATTAGAAAGTGGAACTTCAATTCCAAGTTTCATGGTTTAATTTTACTTACAAAGAGAGTACAGAGTCCTTATACCACCCAGTTCATTCTTAGTACATTTTCTCTCCTTCGTTGCCTGCAATTTCATGATTGTTGCAAAGAAAATAAATGTAAGGAAATATACCATTATAACTTTTCTCCTGACTGATCAGCTTCCATGAAATAATTTTACATAGTCTGCCTGTTCCTTTGCCTATATCTGACAAAATCATTGTCCAGTCATGTTAATTACTTTCTCATGCTGACAATCCCTGTTTTATATCTGGCATGAAGTCTGCTATTAATAAATGTGCCCTTTGAAAAGCAGAGTAACAAAATTATATTTTCATTATAAAACAAATTCACTTGGTTTTATATGAACAGTTACTGGGATATTTTGTCAGAAGTTGTTTTTTAAAGACAGAGATTGTGTATATTTTGGTTTGTTTCTAGAGCTTCCCACACTGCATTTCTGCCTGCAACTGGCAGATATAAATAGAGGGCCAATTTCAGATTAAAAAAATACTGAAATAAGCATAATAAAAAAATCTGTGGTGGATCTGCCTGTCTGATTAAAAAAGAAAGAAAGTCCTCTGAATATAAATGCCAGTGCCATTACAAGTATATTCATCACTGCAAAAAGGCTGTAGCTGACAAGGAAAGATGAGGGATCTCATTTTCAGGGAATTCACCGCATGAGCAAGAAACACAGCATCCATTTCAATAAAGAATCGCAATGTTGTTTTCTCCTTTGCTGGAAATATGCCAGAATCTGCAGCTCACTGCTACCTTATGAGGGCTTCTAGACCTAAGTCCTTATAAGGTCTTCTAGACCTAAATCCTTTTTCTTTGAGATGTAAGAGAAAGGGAACTGAGACACAGAAATCATCAGATCCAAATTCTACAGAACACACTCATTAAAACAAGTCAAGGATGGTACATATTTCTCTTTGCCTTTTATATTCTGTAAGTATTTTGCAATCATTTATTTATAGGTGCTAGAGAGACTGGCAGCTAGAAAGGATAAGCATACATAGTCTGTGTCTCCAATTGCGTAGCTTGTGATTGATTGTTTTTGCAATAGGTACATACAGACAGATATAAGCATGACAAAAAACAATCTTCTGTCTTAAGGTGGTCAAGACCACATAAATCTGAAGCCATTTGATACTCATATGGTAGACAAACAAATGCATCTTTCACTTCCAGAGGTCAAAAATGAAGTAAAGCAATTGACAAATTGTTATAATTCTAATCTTTTCTATACCAGCTCGTATCTAATGCCTCTTTAAGTACAGAGTCATGATGCATTGACTGACATATCTATCATATTTCTTGTCTGGCTATTTCTCTCCTTCCTTCCCAAAGATAAAACATGTATAATTCTATTCTCAATGTGATGCTGGTGTTCAATATACATGTATTAATGAAAGACTGCATTTGTGCTCCTTCCTAGAATTTGTCCAATATTTATCAGTCCCAGTGAGTATCCTGTCAATATGTAACCTTCCCTTTGTGAAGATTTTCATTATAGCAAAGAGACATTGTGTTTGAAGAGATTATTCTGAAGATGAAGGGACTCTTTAGAAGTTCTAAATACAGCTGTCATTTTTTAAATTTTGAACCTTACAAGGTATTCCAAGGGAAGCAAACAAAGGGAGCAGAAGAATGGAGACAGACTGAACAGCACTTCTACCCACCTTCTTTGTATCCCTCTTCTTCCATTTCCAGGTTCTGCCTATTCTGTATCTGCATGGCAGTTTTCCACAATCACAAATACCAACTTGGGGTAATTTATACTGTTTCATTAACTACACTTTCAGAAAGAAACCTTTACATGTGCCAGTGTGCGCTGTGCCAATATTTTCACCACTGCAAATTTTAAGCCCTTTTTAACCTCTGATGCCAGATGCTGCTTTAGTCCAGCATGATGATTGTTAAGGCAGTTGTTCAGATCGTTCTGTGTCCAGAAAAGCAGCAGACAGTTAGAGAGCATATCACTGTGGGCAGGAGCTCAAGGACATTTTGCCAAATTGAGGCCGTCAGCCAAAACCTTTTGCTAATTACAGTGCTATATATCCAGAATTCATCAGAACTTAACGAAGCTATTCAGAATTCATATTTCTGAAAGAAGAAGTCAAATTTGTCCTGCTATAATCAACAAGCAAACCTTTCTGACTCCAAAGCCTATGCCTACTTACTTAGACTGTTGGTAAGAATATGCAGGCGCATGTTCACTGGATGTTTCCACTGTCATCTGTTGCTGTTGACCACTGGCTTCCTGTGATGAAGATGCTACTGTCTGTGGAGAAGTATCAGCAACAACACCCTAGGAAATCAAATGAGAACATGAAAAATTTACCAATTTCGCTCATGGCAGTGAATTACGTACAAGTGCTCAGCACCAGCTCACCGTTCACGCATTTCTCTAGAGATCAAGAGTTTGAGGTAGCAGAACCACATGCTAACACAACAAACTCCATCAGTTTTAGAAAGCTAATTCAGCAACAAGAAGATTTCTCAGCCTACCAGTAGTACTTTGCTCTCACAGGTTGCAGTGACAGATACCTTCCACTTTGAGGGCAGTTCCCTGCCCATTCAAAGCTAGAGGCAAATTTGATTTTGGTGGATTCTGGGTTTTACTTCTTGGCTCTTTCACAATGTATATATGCCTCTTCTAATTTTTGCTTACCTATCCCAAATCCACAGTGAGTTCACATTTATTTTGTTTGATTTAAAAAGCAATAAAGGCAGAATCTATGCCCACCACTTTCCACTTTACTACACATCCAAAAGAATTTGAGTCACCTTAGAAGAATGCTGCCCTCTTCTACACACTTTCTCTATGCATGTTCCCTTTAAAAGTAAATTTTCCTTACACTAAAGACTTTAATCTGTTAAATCAAACCTCCAATGAAGTTTTATTTATATGTTTGCAAAATGTAGATAAGTAAACATATAAAATATTATATTCATGAATGTAACATTATTCAAAATTTCTTATCCTATTTAGACGGTCTGAACTTGGTTTAAGTCTTTGAATGCTTTCAAAGCAGGATACATTTTCTTTTCTCTACTCTCTTGCTTGGTGTGTTGGTCTCATGAATAGCAAGTATCTTCAGGGAACATGCTTTATTACTCTATTGCACACAACAGAGCCAGAAGAGGGAGCACAAAGCACTTGCTTTGTTTTTATTTGAGCCCTGTGTAAACAACAGGTAGTTTATTTTAAAACATCCGTTAAAATATCAGTTTCATTTTTCAAAAATTCTTTGTATCTATTGCTTAGCAGACTGCCAGTATTATCTTTTTCTGTCTACTTCCTTGTCTTTATCCTTCTCCTTTTGTCCATCTCATCTTGAGATTGTAAGCTCTCTGGGGCAGAGACTGTATTTTTTGGTCTCTGCTTGTGGAGCATCCAGCATGGTAGGGTCCTGGTTCATGATGCTACATGAATACAGATAAACATTAACAATAATCATCATCACTGTATAAGAGCAAAACAGGCTATAGATTTCAGATAATATTTTGATTATGATAGTAGATAATTATGATACTGAATTACTTCAGAAGGCATGAATATACTAGCGAGTGATGGGGAGGAGGTCTTGACAAGTAATTTAAATTAACCTTAATTCTCGTTTGGACAGGTCAGCATAGTGTGCAGCCAACCCCATGATATGAACCACTCTCTATCCCACCATCTCCTTTTAATTCAGATTTTTATCTGCCTGATTTAGACTTAAGAATGCAATTGAAAAGAGGCACTCACAGTGCATTTGCAAACAAATGAGGTTTAAGGCAAAATTATACCGAGGCAAAAAAGACTGAAACATAACCAGCTCAGTACAACAGAATGGTAGTAGCTTTTCCTGTGGGACCTTATCTGGGAATAATTGCAAAGAACTAGGAGAAAACAGGATAAACCCACTTGACTGCTGGTGAAGCCATGCCAGCAGTACCACTAACTCGCATCCTCAAAGCACAGAGTAGTAACAGCGCAAAATCCAAAGTCCACACAGATGAAGACAGAAGTACAGAGACCCTGGCACTCCTTGCCTTACCCCAGAGTAGGGCAGAAGTTGTTAATAAAAGAGGGTAGTGCCAAAGAGAAACACACAGGGAAGAGGATGCCAAGGCTCCCTCCTCTCGCTGTGCTCAGCTGCCCTTATGAAGCTTCACAGAAGTGGAGGCCAAGCTGACGCTCTCCCAGCAGCTTGTGGTCTACAGGGTTGAGTAAATACTTACTCATTAGACTGTCATCAGCATGACTCAGCCCCAAGGAGGGAGGGAGCGAATCCTTCCTCAAGGATGAAAAGCACTCAGTCAGTGCAGCATCCTCCACGTCTGTATATACAAGAGGAAGGTTTCCATTGCTCAATCACTTTTTCTGGTGGCTAAATGTTTCAGCAATTACCTATGCTTGCTAAGGACCGCATCAAACCCTCCTGCAATCTTCTCTTCTTGAAATCTCTTTTGGTTTCGTGGTCTGCCTGCTGGGTTTGTTTTCCTGTCTCTTCCCATCTCCCTCCCAAGTACATGGGGAAAAAATAGTCATAATCACTGATGTTTTTATTCCGTGTCCTGCTGTACAACACAACAAATGCAAAACAAGAGCCCTTGCAAATAATTAAAAAAAAACAAAAAAGAGGGGTTAGAAAAAAGAAGGAAAAGGAAAGAAAGAAAACAAAAAGAGAAAGAGATGTGCAGTCCTCATTTAAAAAGCTGAAAGCTTCCAGCCACCACTCCATAAAGAACTTTTAGGCCCCTTTCAAACAACAGGTGCAAGAAAATATAATAAATAAGAGTTCTGTTCCCCCTTCACTCTACTTTAATGGATGGAGATAAACTTACTTCAATAGGGACAGCTGTTGGAGGCACAGGAGTGTACTGGGGAATGTAGGTCCCTTGCATAGGTGCAGCAGCAGTCATGTACTAGAACAAATCAAAAGCAAATGAATAGTAGAAAACCACAATTAAGATGCATAAAACCATGTTAGAAGAATGATACTACTTCAATTTCACATTGAGAGCTTTAAGTAAAAGTACAGCATATTATTTCTTTTAAGTAAGGACTTTAGGTAATGGTAGAACTTACCCAGCTATAAAAAATTACAATTTTTAACTTCAAACTCAGGTCATATCTGAATATAGGCAATAGTAAACATCTTACTGACAGAAGCATATTGTTCTCTAAAACTTAGAGACTACTATTTGTACTTACAAAAAACTCAGTGGAGATATGATAACAGTATATGTATATATATATATATATTTATATATAAAAGTGGTTACAGATACAAAGCAGTCTAAACAATCTTTTGGAGTCTTATTGACCTTATCTAATGACACCTACAAAACATGAAGCATGAAATTTGAGAGCTTTATTCCAACCTATATTTAACCCCATCAACAGCAGCAGTTGGGTTTATGGAGATACAAAGCTGCAGATATGTGCAATCCGAGACAGGAGAAATAAAGCAAGAGCAAGATTAATTTGGAGTTTCTCCTTTTGTACACAGATACCTTAGATAAATTCTCATGGCTTATTCTAACTATCCAGGGATCTTTTCTATGCATTTTGAAACCTGTGCAAATTATTATAGCAACAATTTGTATTAGCTTCTCTGAAACATGGTCTCTCCCAAGTACTACAAGACAATCTTTTTTTAAATTCATGTATGCATGTGAATTTTGTCATTGTTATGGTACTGATTTCTTTATATACAGCACTTCTCAAAAACATCCTGAACTGAATGCAACAGTCATTGTTGAAATTTTCAAATAAAGTATTGATATTAATTCCTTAGATCTATATGTGCTTTTCTTTCTATAATCCAGCCCTAACTACATGTCTTCACTGACAAGAATCTCAGAATATGCCCAATCCCCCAACTGACTGTATGACACTTCCACTACATGTTATCTTCAAAGACACACCAAAGATCTGAATCAGCCCACAATGTATTTGATGAATTTTAAAATGAGTTAAATATAGCTTTGCTTCCTGGCAGAGCTAGGAAGTGCTTGCAAGATTTTATTCCACTGTTATAGTAAAATTTGCATTTAAAGCACTCTCCTACCTCAATTCTAAACTAACTGGATGGTTTGATATGCCTGTCACAAACATGCATTTTGAAATTGCAAAGTGGGGTGAAGACTGCAGCAATGCTGGAGAAATGCCTAAGGGAATAACAACAGCATATGTAAGAATCTCACAGCTAAATTCTGAAATATTCTTTCAAGTAGAAGAACATAAAAAGTATTTAAATGTAATTGTTTTCTATTAAAAAAATAAGTGAGGATCATCTGTGATATAGAAGGCATACTTGCAATATGAGCAGTCTATGCTGTTGAGAACCATCACAATATTTTTCCCCAAATTCACAGTGTTTTCCTAAAGTTGAACGAAGAGACGGGAGTGTCCTCAGTGTCTGTTTGCCTATATCAGGCCATGGTTTTCTGCAGCTCTTTCTCCTTTTTCTTCAGGAAGAGAATTAAATTCAATACTGTTTTTTACAAAGGCTAACCCCCCAAAAAGCATTAGGCCAACTCTCCCTACTGGGCAGCTGGGCTGTTCTCCTGCCTCACAGATGAAGAGCTGATGAGAATGCTACACTGGGGTGTTCAGAGCTGCTTCCTCTCCATTCATTCTGCCTTGCAAAGGTGCCCTCACATATTGGGAAGACATCTGTTGTGTAGCATTGTTCTAAGCGTGTCAATATTTAAGATTAACCTGAAGCATGCATTCTTAGAGTTCTGCAAAAACCTGCAAGGGTTCTAAACATCCATGCAGTCTAGCTTCACTTGTAGAAATATATAGAGAGTTTATTTGAAAGTGTCAATTTAAATATTAAAGTGGTATTATTCAACTTGAACTTCCTCTGTTTTCTTCCTTGAACTTAGCAAAGATCAACACTCAGACTCTTATAAGATGCAATTGTCTGCCATTCCCTACCTTAGACACAAACCCATGTGACTTAATATACAACTAATAAATTACTCAACTGCTTTTTAACTCAGATCACTCAATTTTTGCAAAATCCTTTGGCACTATGTTCTGTAGCACAATGGAAACTGTCTGGGAGTTAACTGATGTCTTTGCTGACTGTAAAAGCACTGCTCTCAGTAGTTGTGCAGTTTCTTACTCTATTATTTTTTATCTCTTGAGGCAGATCCTGATCTTACTTTCCAGCCTTCTTCATGTTGCTTCTTTCACAGCCAGACAATCTCTAGGGAAAACTGTACTGTTGACTTGAGTATCACTGGTGGCCCTGGCCAAAGCCTGCTTGCCCTAGTCTTTTCAGATACTCACACCTCCTGGTTTAATTTTTTTTTTTTTTTTACAGAAGTTTTAACTGAATTCAGCCAAACAGCAATGATTTAAAGCACTGGATACCAAAGCTATCCAGATGCTTGGCAGACTCTCTGGAGAATTGTAGGAGAGTAACTTTTCCCCTGTATATAACATTCTGCATGTCTAAATGTCTGTACTAATGGTGGATCAGTTTTTCTGACAAATCATTTAGAGTTCTATAATTAAAAAGAAAAATGTTGTTAGCCCAAATTAGTTCCACCAATAGCCCAAATGAAGTCATAATACTTGGGGCAAAGTTTTTGGTCCCAGGAAAATTTAGCCAAGGCTCAGTGCAACAGAATACTGTGCTTTATAAATGGCCCTGGATCACACAGCAGCAGTGGTCTGTATCACAGGTACACATATTGTGCCCTTCAGTGGAATATCCAAATATATTTAATATCATCCTCTTTATGAATGTAAAGATACCCTCACCATTTCGGGCAAGAGTTATTGGGTCAACAATTAAACATGTTATGGGGGTTAGAACTGGTTCTCTGTCTCCAGGGTCTCACTGAAGGCTTCACTGAGTCTTCTGTAAAAATTTTTACCAACCTATAAAGGACAACAATGACTTAGTTCTCAGAGACATATAATTGTTGTCTAGTATCTGAAGTCCCCTCACATGCAGCACAAGGGAGTCCCAGCTGAGACCACATGAATTCGGAGATGTCTGCCCTGCTGGATCAGTTTCTACCATGGGAAGTAGTGCTGAGAAGCTGCTTTAGCTTAGTTTGTTCACTAACAGTGCCATGAAAAAGGAGACAGATTAATTTTTTTTATAACTGACACTAGCTCAAGCAAGTTCACATGTATTTCTTTCCTTTGTGAACTACATAATCCTAATTCTCTGATCTCACAGGATAAATAAAGATTACACAGTGCTAAGGCACAATGTCAGTGTTGATACTTTCAACAAAGGGTTTGGATAATGCAAGAGTTGAATTGCTTGTCATGAATATTCATCGTTGGTTGTTTAGCAAAATGTTTCCTGAACATTGCTGTTCAGTAGCTTCCATATCCAGCACACAATGAGCCCACTGGAATCTGTGTCTCTTCCTGGGTCCCCCAGACACTTTACCTAGATACTCTATTAAAAAATGTGCTCTGTATCTGCTAAAGTGAGCAGAGTCCACACTAGGAGGTGGAAAAGGTATTCAGAAATTACACTGATATTTAAAGAAAAGTTGAAATTTTATATCTACTCAGTTTAAGACCACCCAGGATGAAAATTCTAGTCTAAGGACATCCTTGAGCTGAGGGACTCTGTTGTAATGCAGCTTGATTTGGAATACAGTTCCTGTAAATGTACATACTCTGCACATGGCTTCCCATCTACCTCAAGAACCTCATGTAACTTGGAAGTGGGAGATGGCAAACAAAGGAGACGTCTTTGTCAGAATGTCACCACTGACATTTATTTTTTCCTGAATGAACCACACATTAACAGTACAGTTCTTTATCCACACATATGTGTGAAACAGAGACAGCATGACTCACAGACTCAGCTCGGAAGCACCCAGCTATATCCACTAAATATCAATATTATAGGCACTGAAATGAGAGAATCTGAAAAACCCAAATGCATCCTTTCTTTGTCATTTGCTTCCATTGGGATTAAATATTCTTGAGCTGTGATGTGATCGGTCATTCAGCAAGGTATGTGCAAGGCAGAGGAAACCACTGTTCATTCTTCCACAACTGTACAGGCTTTGTGGGTCTAAAAGTAGAAGCTGCTCATTTCTGACAGTAAAATGAATAGTGACTCTACAGGCAGAGATGATGGATCTGGAGGTTATAAGGGAGCTTTTCTCAGCAGTCTGATCCTTTAAAAGCCAGTAATTTCTACTACAGAAAATGACTACATTGCTGGTGGCAACAGGCTCTTTATTTGCTTGTAAACTATTGTTTTCTTCATACAGTACAGAGAATGAATGTCCTCAGCACTGAAGACATGCAGTATTGTAATATGATTCATGCTTTATGATGCCCAGCTGCTTAATTCAGACTGATCAGGTACCAATTTAGTCTATAAGCTACATTAAGAATTCTACTCATGTGTTTTCCAATGGGGTTTTTGTTTTTTACCATTTTGAAATGACTTAAATGTGTGGGAAAATATATAGCTAGAAAATGAGAGTGTTGATGTACACTTATGTTTCTGTTCTTTCAGATACTGCCCTCTGTGACTACAAAGAGTTAAATGCCAGGAGGTAACAAATGAGGAGGTGGGCTGAGGGGACAAAATGAGATCTCTCAAGAAGGATCATGTTTAATTCAGAGAGCAACATCACTTCTTCCAGATCTGCAAACAGCAGGGTGTCCCAGCCTGGCTCCAGTAAGGATCCTGTTAAGCCTGCAGCAAACACCAAACCCATAAAGGTGACAGGCACCAGGAAATAAAAAACAGGAGGAAGGCAGCTGCCTGTACCCAACAGAGTGAGGGAGCATGCTGCAGTAGGATAATATGATTTACCCATTAAAGATGGAGCTGAGTCACCTGCAGGGAATTTGCAGGAGCTTTTACATTGAGACTGTGGCACAGGTAGTGTCCATTTATTTATCTGTCCTAATAAGC